TGTTTCTTATGCGAATGAAAATCGATTTATCAAGTTTTATCTGCTGGGGTTATGAAAGTGTTTGGCTGAGTAGATCGCATCTCAATTTGACCTTTCCAGGCTCTGAAGAAGGCGAAACCGCCGAAACGTCAGCAATTGTGTTCTAATAAATTCTATATTAGCAACCTCGTGTCTGCTTATTGATGAAAAACATTGAATTATGCTGAAATACTTGCAAAACTTCAGACGGCAGATGTTTGCGGATAGGATCTAACACGTCATTACCCTTTGTGGCGGCTCAAGCGTTCACCACCACACCATGCGGATCCTTCGTTTCGCCTGTCTCTCTGCCAGTTTTCTATCGGCCAGTGCCACCGACAATCACCCGTCAACGAAATGGATCGGGGGCTCAAATCGGCATTGAACCCAGTTAAGCTGAGGCTGCAGTCAAAGTTACAATGTTAGTTTGTGCTCACCAGATCTATCCCGTTCATAGGTGGTTGCTGATGGCACTGGTATGTAGAAAACTAACTGAGAGAAAGGCGAAATGGAAGATACGCATGGTGTAGTGGTGAACGCGTTTCTCCCCGGAAAGGACAATAACGCGTTCGTTCCCCATCGCAGACACCTGCGGTCCGGAGTTTTGCAAATATCTCAGCATAATTATCGTTGATTTCGCATATTACCCTGCCATTAAGATTGTACTAGGCAGTAAATAAGAAGCTTGACGTTGTGAATTGGGCAATAGTTGAATCAGTAGACTTGGATCATGTCAGTAAAAGAGGAATTGAACTTGATTTTTGACCAAGTGCTCATCGAGAGTGAACAAGAAAATTCTGAAGGCCTCGAAAGAAATGGTACTCCACATTAGGAACAAAGCCAGTAATCCGGGTGATGTGTCCTAAATATACGGTACTGGTTGATACTGCTTGATGGAGAGCTCAACAGTTCAACCAAGAAAAGCAGAGTTGGAGGTGGTTGTAATGACAGGTTCTAAGGATATGCGAGGATCATTGCTGGCTATATTCCCTCTGGAGTAAGCAGAGTTAATGCTATGGATCCTCGAGTTTCTTGGATAGTGCAGTTTGACAGAACTGATTCAGTGCTCCATAGTTCATCAAACAAGGGTGGAGAGCAGAAGAGATGTGGTTTTTACGAGAGAGCTAATTCGATCGCATTACGGTGGACGATAAGAAGATACTTCAAGTAACACTGGGCATGACTAAACCACATCGCAACGACGAATGGATGTAGGCATTCGACCCCAATCAATCGGCTCTGAAGAGGACAAGGACATCGAGACGTTAGCTGGAAAAAATTCTGTAACATCTCATGTAAGTTGGACATTCTCAAAAAAAACAGGTAAGACTTAGGGACTTTTGATTTGTCGTTAAAGTGTGTGGTTAAGAATATCCGCTATCTTCGGTTTATTGTGAAAAAATGGGTTAAAGTGAAGAGATGAATACTATTTTCCATAAGGCGAAGTGTAATCTCGGTATAGGGGCTGAAGAAACAAAATAGAAGGATAAGAGTGAAGTAGATCAAGGTGGTTAAGCAATGTTGCGGCAAGCCCATGAACGTTTTTTGCTTTTTTGATGACAGTGGGGCTTGAAGAAGTCAAGTACTTCTTAAATTATACATGGAACCAACACATTTTTTTTGGATTATTTATTAGTTACATAGTTTTTAAAAAAGCTAACAGGTACGAGTAAGAGAATGAGCAGTTGTGAGAAACGACAACGCTCAGTGAGATTGAAGAATTCGTCGGTCCCGCCTGTCAGAAACTGGAGAGAGGACAGTTGAAAGCCCAGTAGAATCAAAAATTTATGGTAGTTTTCAAGTCATTGTTAAATACATCATTATTATTGTGCCTACAGTGGATAGCTCGATGATTACTACCAAATCATTAAGATTCGTAGTTGTTGGAAAATAGAATGAGGTAAAGGTTTTAATAAGCATAGCCTACTGGATAACATCGCATGCTCCATCTTTCGGTGAAGTTACTGAGTAATGCATACATTTTTGAAAAATTTGTCAATGTGTTGAAGAAATGCGACGTTTTGGGTGATATAAGTTGTGACAGAAATTGTCAAAATTCAATACCAATTGCAGAACGGACCATGCAAGTTAATATCAAATGCAACCAGTGTAGGAAACACTTATGCGTAGATTGTTTCTATAGGGATCACCAAAAGTCCTTATGGAAGAGGTCGGAAATTGTAGTGATTACAGCTTGTGAGTGAGGAGTGTAAATCACGAGGGTGACAGCTTCTGAAAGAAATTGTTTTCGAAAAGTTAAATTTTAAAAATTGTGGATCGCATAACAGGTTTCTTTTGAGTGAAGCATCTAGGGTATAATTGAAATAGAGTATGCTTGAGAAGTAGTGAGAGTAAGAGTTTGGAATTTGTAATGTTTCTGAAGGCTTGCCCTAAGCTCGTGTTTTTACGGTCGGTAATTTTATATAAGCATATACACAACTTTGCAACGTTGAGTACATCAATAGATGCATTCTCAATAGATAAAGTGTCGAGTTGCTAGTAGTTGTCGAACTGCAGTGAGGAAGTTCAGCAATGATATTTTAACACCGTCTTCATCAGCAAGTCTTGCTCTGTCCGTATTTTAAGCGCGGAAATCGCCATGGGTTCATTCAAGTGAAAAACCCTAAAAAGCGTTCTTTTGAAATTGTATTGTGTAAAAGGCAGCTTTTGTCGGATTATGCCGTATACGTAATGTGGAGAAGCTAACAATCTAATTTGAAAGGTATGACATGGAAATTATTTTCAATGAAGCATAAAAGAAACAACTAAAGAAAAGAGTCGAATTTTACGTATATACGAATGTCATGTGCTGTCGTTGGAATTAGTGTTGTAACTTGCAGCTACTGTACCTGTCTGGGAGTTACGTGGCCAACAATCAAGTGATGACGAGGTCAACAATGATGCCGATTGGGAAGATGAGGATTCGAATTCTAAGGTTTCCACTTAACTTCTTCACATATCTTGGTTTTGGAAGCGCAATGAGTTTCCGGATACTTAATGTTTTTCGTGATTGATTTTCCCCATCATTCTGCAGGATAACCGAGAACCGACGAGAACAGCACTCACTAATGTGGTAGTTGCGGCACATACTGAAGAGAAGGTAAGTTTTTTGTCTTTCTAATTTTATCTGAAATGCTTTAGCATTCAGCTCTGATTTTAAATATCTAACTCGATAGCTTCCAAACTATACACCGCCGTCATCAACTGGAATTCAGCGGTATGATTTTGTCCCAGGGGATGACGATGTGGCTCCAAATGCAACAGCTCCACCTGGCCTTTCAGCTCGGTACGACTTACCTCCTGGCGAGGTTCGTTTTTTTTCATTTCATCGTAATCCACAACAATCGAGAATCACAAGATTGGAAATTCCTTCACATCCATTGACATAATTTGCCGTTAATAACTTGTTCGTGAATGGAAACGTGGTGAATACCTTTTAGGAACCTACCACTGCAGTGTCTGACGTGCACGTAGACTCTAAAGGTCCCACACGCCCACCCAATTCATCTCTGGGCCTAACAGCTGTCGCCATCTATGATTATCAAAAGAATGACGATGATGAAATCAGTTTTGAACCAGACGATATTATTACTAACATCGAACAGGTCTTCCTCAATTCCTTTCTGTTAACGAAATAAGCTTTAGACTTGCAGGTTTTTGCGGATTGAAGAACTCAGGATATCCCATTTCAGATCGATGCAGGATGGTGGCGAGGTATCTGCAATGGACAGTACGGCTTGTTTCCTGCCAATTATGTGGAGTTGAGATAAGTATATGAGTTAAAATGTCGCCTGTTGTAAATGGCTGAATGACTAAGTCTAAAATTCATTTAAAGGCATTTAAATAGATTGCAATTTTGCTAGATACTTCTTAGTCTTGTCACGTTGTATCTTCTATAAGTAGTATGCTTCCTTAATGGTGTATTTGTCCCTAATTCAAACAAGGTCATTTTTTTGGTGGCAAGTCGAGTTTTATACGCTGCGGTTTTCAGAACATAAAGCTCAACTTTTATATCTAACTTGCAAAAGTGGCCGGTGCTCAAAACGTTGTTGAAGTCTTTTTGTCTTTTCTAGAAGACGAGCGCACGAACCATGTAGAAATATTGTTTATGCTATGATTAAATATACTTTGTTTCATCACAGTTTCCGATTTTTTAATCCTTGAGCTCACCTGTCGTTTAAATCTGTTGAAATCGATGTACATCACTATTTACGCGGAACATTTTTTTGTAATATTACTCCTTGTTTTTTAAAATCTCTGTCCTATCTTTTTCACTGATTTACAAAGGCCTTATTAGGAATAAAGTTCTCGGCTTGTGTCCATAGACTGGAGACCAAAAGTCCGGAGACTATAAGCATCGTGTGTTATATCTATGGACAGTCATTAAAGCAGAACATATTATACAGTAATGAGTGGTTAATCGGTATGTGGATTGAATAGTACAGGTGAAATGGTGATTCATGTGGTCGGCGGGCAATTTCGCCGCAGCGAAGCGCGTATGACTTATCGCGTGACCGGTCGCAACGTTTGAACAAACTTAGCATCGTTGCCAGTGTGTTGAAGTGGTTGTTGCTGAAAACAGAGCAAGTAGAGCTAAGTATTAGTGTCGGATCTGGTGTTTGATGTTCCCGAGTTTGTCTGTTGCGGACTAAATACGACTTGTTTCTTTATAATCTCACTAACCATCCAATTTAACGATCGATGGATGAAATTCGGAGCGATGTGGTTTGGTATTCCCATTGTCAGCATTCTGGACTCGAAGCGCTGACAGTGATTTCTGGACAGGTTTTCTCTTGTCGTTCGTGTATAGTTTCACCAGGGATTCAACCCAAAGCAGATGTTTGGTTCTCAATTTATGCACGAATATTGAATATTTTGTCTTGTGCTCTCATAAACGACTAGTACCTGGTATGTTCAAAGGGTCTTCTGAACAAATCGGCATAGTGGCATCTGGTGTAGTATTTTACTTTATAATCATGCAATTACTGTTCTTTCTTCGCGTCTAGAAGTAACCCTCTTTTACTCTTTTTTCATGTGGTGTGATCTATACGGTATATGATGTGCGTGGGCAGATGTGGCGCAGTGGTCGTGGGCGCCCTGCAACAAGTGGAATCGATACCCATGCACATGGCCCACCAAGCCCTCCATCCCTTCATCCCTCCGGGGTCGGCAATTTGGTACCAGACTCGTGGAGGGGGTTAGCAGCATTGGCTCGATACATCGGTAGGCGACCGCGGTGGCGAGTCATCGTAAAGGTAAGATATGAATTCAATCACCTGCAAACGATGCTTAGTGCAGTCGAATGCGTGGTGCATGCCTCAGGGATTGATCAACACCGAGAGCGTTATCCTTTATTTCATTTTATGATGAGTGTATGCCAATACTTCTTCCAGTCTACTAGTTTCCTGGTATCCATCATCGTCTACGGTTGATTCTGTCCGGAATCCTCAGATAGACGTGCTTGAGCGTTCCCATGTCTTCAGCGCTGGCAGTCGTCAACATTCGTGGATCGCATAGAACTTCTTGGATAGTAACCTAGTATCAACTTGCCTACCCACCAAGGCGGGATGAGGGCCTAGGTTGGCAGAAAGTGTCGAGATGTCGAAAGTCGAGGATCTCGAAATAGGCCCTATGCTTATTATTATTCAATGGCATGCACTGTCCTTCTGTTTCCTAGGTAGACAATGTTCAAAAATCGACACCGATTTCATTACGCACTAAATGCTGTGAAATTTGTGTCTATCAATTTTTTTTGTTCAGCAATCGCGAGGTTTTTAAACAGCATGCATTTACTTCCATAAAAAACACAATACAATACAACGCTAGCTGACGTTTCGGCAGTATCGCCTTCTTCAGAAGCTCAGAAGAAAGAACAGTAATTGCATGATTATAAACGTCAGCTAGCATTGTATTGTATTGTGTTTTTATGGAAGTAAATGTATGCTGTTTAAAAACCTCGCGATTGCTGAACAAGAAAACGACACATTCATATTCCAATGCATTGTGTTTTTTATGGAAGTAAATGTATGCTGTTTAAAAACCTCGCGATTGCTGAACAAGAAAACGACACATTCATATTCCAATGCCGAGGTTAAGAGAAAGTCGATCCTGGCAACTATCAATTTTTTTTCACACGGCCGAATTCTTCAAACTCTGATTTGTACACATAAAGTACAAATTCTTAAAAATTGCAGTCACTAGGCGAATGAAAAGAACTCAAATTTTCGCGTTACGGTAACGACGAATTACCAAGGCACACAATCTGCGTCTATTTGCAAATTTCAGTCAATGTCTTTTCTCTGTGTTTGCTTTTTGCAGTTTATTCATCCAATTCAACACAAAATGGACATTGTGTATTGATTTGAATGCGTACGTTGATTGCTTTCAACTTTAAAACAATATGTCTCTGCTGTCGTTCACATGATATCGTCCTTACTTTAATACTACTTTTAAGGCAATGTTAATTGAACAAGGTCGGATATTAACTTCTTGATTTTCACTTAATAGGACGGATTCTAATTCGTTGAACACAATAATGTTTATTTTTGAATTATGCCAAAGCAAGTGAAATCCATGAATCCCGGCTTAATGTCGGGTCGACTGAAGTGCCCTAGATTCCGGAAATGAGTCCGCAAACACGTGCGGCGGAGAGACAATCGTCATCGAGGTAGCGTTGTTTGAAGAATCACGTGCCGTCCGTCTTTTCTCCAACCAGGTTCACTATATCATCATTCATGTCTACTAGTTATGTCGTTAACTATAAGTACTACTTAGAAACGTCTATCACCAATTACTGGGAATTTAGTCACCTGTATCACTTGTGTCATCTTGTAGTTTTGTTAACGGTGAAAACTATACTAATTGGGATCGCCTCGCTAAAGAACATCAAGCTTTCCGTGTGATACATTCAATTTTTACTGTTTTTCATGATAAGGAATAGCCACTAAACTCGTCGAGTTCCATCCATACATGGGTTTACTCGAGGCTGGACTTGCAGATGAAGATACTGAGATCATTCTCAGCTTGGTTGACCTGCCAGGCGATAAACTGGACACCGCAGTTCGACACTTAGGATCATCTTTTGTCACTTTATGGTAGTAAACCGTTAAGAGAGAGACAAAGAGGTCAATCTTTTGAATTGAAGTGTCTGACAATATATGACGGATAAGAAAGCAGTACTGACGATTCCGAAAATTCCCAACATCTATGCCGAACATTCCTCATTAGTATTCTAAATCCAATCATTGATAGTGTAGAGGACGGGTATCAATTGATCCGCTGATGGCTGTGATTTCCGTGGTTACCATACACTCATGAATTGAGTTTACAAATTCATCAAAGCAATGCATTAGAGAACTGCTGTAATGTTTTTTGGAGGAGGAGCTCGATACTGTCAAGTGGATTCATCCAGAGAAAATAGTCATTTTTCTCTGATACAAAGATTTGTCTCCTTGACGCTGCACACAAACATTGTATCGATATAACTTAGGAACACTTACTAAAGTTATTTCATATCTCGAGGTTCATTAGAATTACATTCTATTTTAAACACAAATAATGATCAAAGTTCTCAACGGTTTACTGCCTCATCGTGGCTGGGAGGTGTTCCTGGGTGTCAGACTGCGATGTACATTGGGGGGATTCGTCCCCACGGCAGGGTCTCCCAAGCTGAGAAGGAGTCCGATGTTTCTGTCAGAAAGCCTAGCAAAGAGTAAACAAATACCAGGATCAGCACCGTCGTGGTATCAAAGTCGCATGGTGGCAAATCTTCCTCTGATCCACAAAAGAGCTGCGACTGCCCGTGGTGTTGAAGACCTGGGGCAGACTTTGGCCAAACTGATCTCGGGATTCCAGGGAACCACAATGGCTTAGCCAGCAAATCTCCGATAAATGGTGATTATGCTGAGGCCCGCACAACCAGTGAGGACGAGCCGTTCATGTGTCAAGTGTCAATAAGGATCAAACATAGTTAAGAGATTATCTCGCAGTATGTTTAATAATATCATATACTCATGAAATACTTGAAACTTGAATGGCCCGTCCTCACTGGTTGTGCAGGTCCCAGCATAATCTCCATTTCTCGAAGAATTGCTGGTTAAGCTATTATGGTTCCCTGGAGTCCCGAGGTCAGCCTGGCCAAAGTTTGCCCCAGATCTTCACCACCAAAGGCAGTCGCAGCCCTTGTGGATCGGAGGGAGATTTGCCACCATACCACGTTGATACCAGGACGGTGACGGATCCTAGCATTGGTCTACTTTTAACTGGGCTTCCTGGTCGAAACGCCAGACTCTTTCTCAGCTAGGAATACCCTGCAGGGGACGAATCCTACCGCTGTACTTTGCAGTCCGACATTGAGAAACACCTCTCAACCACGATGAGGCGGTTAAATCATTAGGAGGATATTCATGATATGGTATTTGTAAATAGATGTAGGTAAACTAGATTCTTAGATGGGCCATCTACACGCGTTCTTCTGCACCTAGCAATTACTCGACTCGTTCTTTTGCTTTCCTACCGTCATGAGTTTAGGTAGTCCGGTTCGTTTCTTAATTCACCACGACTTGACGATATTCGAAGTTGTTTCTAGTGCTGAGATTACTAATTCTATAAATTTCTTCGTCTAGAAGTTATATCTGACACTTATGGCGCAGTGTTAGAGGTGCCCTGTGTTGCACCTAGTTGTTGGTTCTACAGCCCATGTCTTGGGTTAATCTGGTTCGACATCCTTTCGGGATCGGTAAATTGATGTCATACTTGTTCGGGAAGATAA